CCATTAACTCAAGGCAATCTCTTACTTGTAACTTCTTGTAAAATAAAAATGCAAATTACAAACTTCCATCAGACAATGGCATAGAATATATATATTACCATTGAAAAAGGAGGAATGGACACCTAGCAAGGAAATACTGGACTGAAGCAAGAATGGAGCCCAGCTAGGCAAAGACCAAATCCTCTAGCTCTATGTCTCATGTCCAGTACTTTAATTTTACAGGACTAGGTACTTTTTGCCTTAGATTGCTTCCTACAACATAAATCTCTCCTTGGCTGGCCCCACTTCCTACATGTAGCTCTCCTTGGCAGACAGCCCACAGCTAACATCTTGGGGTGTTCACTGAAGTCTAGGTTCCACTTTCATGTGCTCACAGGATGGTCTTTTGCCCTCACTGGCCCTTCACACAGAAACTCCTCTGTCACATGCTGCCTGTTCTTATCAGCTTTCTGAAAACATGAACTGGGAATCTCTGTTTCCTCTACACTTGCATCCATCATGTCTCTAAAGCCAACACCAAAAGGAAAACACTGCTAATTCTGGCTTAGGAAGGACCTTGGCCTTCCTGAACCAAGTTAGTATCAGTTTTATTTGCATATACACCCATCTTATGTACTAATTTAAATTTAATTTTCCATATATAAATCTATAATTGATTAAAGACTCTCAAAACAATAAATATGTATTTTTAAATGGTTTTCAATAACTTTCACGTAATTTACTGTTAAGTCAGGTGGCAGACATATTACTAGATTCTGGGAGTTTAATGCAAAATAGATGGAGACTAGACTCTTTACAATTCAAAGTGAATTCTATTATTGCTCTTGGAAGCACAACAAATTATTGTTTCACTAAAACTCTTATGCTTTCTAGAACTCTTTGAGGTAAATAAAGCTTAAGCAAATCTCATTTTGCTGAACTTTTATCAATATTGATCATTCTTGGTCGGTTTTACTTAAAACTTCACTAGTTATACTATCATTGTAGAAACTCCTTTCACACAACCTGTGAACAGCTTAAAATGCACAAAATAAACATTTATTAATTTTCTACATTACCTAATTCTTGGATATGATTTAATGATAGAATTGGCTTAAGCTATTTTTCATGGAAATAAAACCAACAAATACCATCTGAATGAGAATCATGTGCTTCATACTATTTGGTGTTAAAAGATCTGATGAACCATTTTTATCCATCTGTGTCACTCTTCCTTCAAAACCAGATTAAACCACTTTGTTTCATCTTATTTTTTTCTTTCCCTTAACTACAAAAGCTTAAATTCAAATGAATAAATTTGATAAATACAGAGAAAAAGATATTATGTCTGCATTCTCTATCTTTCTACCCTTGTGTTTTGCAAGTTTCTATGCATCCAAATCCCTCTACTTCGAGCTTCCAAGGAGTGGTAGACATCAAGACCAGCTACCTACTCCCTTTCCTCAACCCACTCATCTAGTCTTACTCCCAAATATGTTCACTGCCCTGGGGTCATTGACCCTGCATGTTTTCAATAGACCAGGGACTCTCACTTTCCATATGATGCTCTTCATTGCAGCGTTGTGTCTTAAACTTCCCTCAGTGTCTGAAAACTCCAATTCTGAAATTACTTCTGTGCCTCCATCAGTAGGCCAACGGAAGAAACAGACAGACAGACGATGAACCAAACAGGACTAGTCACTTTTGTTTCTAGCCGATGTCAATCATGAGGGAAAAAACAAGTACTTACTAAGAAAAACAACCACCACCACAATCCAAACATAAACTGAGTAAACCGTGATAAAGAGAATGTCACACAATTTTAAACTTCCTCTCAAGACTGTCAAGCAATGCTGCCGTCATCATCCCGTTCTTCCCCCTCTGCTTCTCTTAATTTTTTCCTATGCAAATGATGCTTTATATCAAATGAGACCTGGGTTGAAGCCCCACGAACTGAGCTACCCAGGACACTGGGTCCTGCTGCTCCTTAAGGCAGATGGCTTTATTTATGCCAGCAGATTTCGTCAGCACTGGGGCTCTCCTCACAACTGTCCTCACTCTTCCTCAACTGTGTTTTGTGATTAATCAGTTTCTTGAGCAGTTTTCTTCTTCTATCGGTAATTTGTTTCAGTAACCCCTATTTTGCAAATCACTGCACTTGCCATGTTTTCATTTTCACATTAAATGAGTACTGCTGATTCATAGTCCTGGCAAATAAATGTAAGGGATGCAAACAGGAAATATTAAGTGCTTTATCTGACCCAGATTATTTTTCATAACTGATATTTGACTCTTCTGTACTCTGTGTGTATGCTCGGCCTTCTTGAGGATGACTGCTTTGTAAGAACAGAGGAAAGTGTTGACGTTACGTAATTAATGAACCCCGTATCTCTTCTCTCTCTGTCTCTGTCTGTCTCTGTCCGTCTCTGTCTCTGTCTCTGTCTCTGTCTCTTTCTCTGTCTCTCTCTCACACACACTACAAACCTCATTGTCAGACAACACAACTAATGAGTCTAGCATCACTTTTGTGGACAATGCTGCCCTCTTGTGTCCTCAAATTTTCATGCTGGCAGGGTTTCCACTTAAGATGTGGGGAATATCTCCACTAACATTTACATTTTCCTAGGAAACTTTACAGTTTTAGCAGAATTTAGATTTAAGTATTGCTTCCGAACATTTGTGGCTAAAATTTTAAATCATTGTCATATACAAGTAAGTTAACAACACATCACCAGTTGAATTCTGAAAATTGGAAAGGTAACAGGATTTCAATCTAAATTTTAAACTCTAAAAGAAAATCCATTGTACAAACTCTTAAATAACTTATTTACAGATGAAAATCATGAGAGTACTAAGCCATGGACTTACTAGAAGTTAAATAAAATGTGATCATTCAAAAGGGTTCCTTATTTTCTTTCTTTCTCATTTTCACCCTCTCTTATTCCAACAGGTATCTCTATTGTGAGGAAGGAGTAGTGGAAAGGTATGAGAACCATGAGAGACTCATAATTAAATTTTGTACTTAGGCATTTAGATTTTAAATTCAAATTGACTTTGTGTCATTAATATATGTTGGTGTAAAAAAAACAAACATGAAGCAGAGATTTAAATTGTTCGCTCAGTGGTAAAGAGTTTCTTGGTATTCTGGAATCAGTCAATGATTTTCATTTAAAAAGTCACAATTGTAGATGACAACCTTGGCCTGAAACATTCTGCTGATTTACCACTGCCAAAGCATCAAGTTAAAATGGAATTATAAAGTTTGACTGTGGAGTTTTCCTTCCCATGTTTGACTCTATCCCGCCCCCTTGTGACTGACAAGGAGAAACTTCCTTTTTGTTTAATTACATATAGTTGTGAGCACAAATTTAAAATAAAACGTGAAATAGAAAGAAAAAGTTACATCTATCAGGTAATATATTGACTTATAAAATCTTTCTCAACCAAAACAAGCAAGATTTTGGTGATAACAGCAGGAAGAAAGACATTCCCAGGGGCAGAATCAGAAAAGTTCTATGGACATAAACATTTTCTCAGCTCTCTCCATGAGAGGAGACAGAAAACATGACATTACTACTTTTCAAAGATATAGCAAAACTTCTTAAAGAGAAATACTCAATTTCCTCTTGACTATTGACTGGGCCACTTCTCAACCCATTTTGCCTTTGAAGTTGGCTCAGGAATTCCTATGTTTTTGTATTATTCTTAGGGCAGTTCCTTTTGAAATTCTTGTAGATGGACAGAGAAACAGATGAAAGCAATAAAGACGTTTACTGAACTACCTTATCTACTGTATTGTATTCCAGATGCCCAGATTGAGCTTCAACACACTCAGGCTTTGGAGTTACTACTTTCGATCATCGGTTCACAGCTGATGAACTTCACAGGGATTTACAAAACAAGTAGACAGCAAGAATAGACAAAGGGAAAGCACAGCACTCACTTGAACTCATTTTAATATGTTTAAATGTTCAGTGTTTTGTATTTGACAAATGGGGTACAAAGTTATAGTTATCTCCAAAGGATAGAACATAGAAATTAAAATAACTAATAACACACCAACACAGAAAAATTACATGTTTAAAAACTCAAAAATGAGTTACCATGAATTTATCAATGACTACTGACTGATATGACAAGTATGTTATTTATTAGAAACAAAGTATTTTTGCTATTTTAATTTACATTTTTATACATATGCATATATATAACTCAGAATTCAATAAATATGCAGATAAACAGGTAATTTCTGAGCTACAAGAATAGGTTTTCTTCTTGGCTACTTATAACAAAAGTGCTCATTAGAAGACCTTATATTACACTCATGAATTCATGAGATTATAAAAATAGAAGTTAAATGCAATATGTAGATAATTTTAAAGTTTTAAGAAGAGACATCAAATCATAGCTGTTTGCTATTTCTTGCCTGACATCTTTATATTTACCCTGGATATGATAATGAGTTGAAGTGACCAAAGCAAGACAAATGATTTGTAGAACAGTTTCACAAGTGGATAGGAAAAAAATTAAAAAGATGCCGTCCAATTTTTACCAAACTCTTCAAAAATCATAAAAAATAAATTGTGTTTCTTTTCCAGGGATCCTATGTGAAATCTCTACAGATAAAATCACCAAACAGTTATTGACTGTTTATTGACTGACCCAGCAACTTGAGAGCTCTCAATAGAAAGAGTATACAAAGCGGATCGCTTTTGAATCAACATTCCGAGAGTGGACCAGCTCAGAGACAAATTATAGCATAGTCACCACAGCGCACAGCACAAAGAAAAAGTCAATATCAATGCATATGAAACAGGGAATATTTTTAAAATAAAAAGGGAAAATACATCACTAAATGTGATCGTATAATTTTCTTTGGAAATTGAGAATTTTGTAGTTACTATCTTGGGTATAGTTATCTGTACATTAATGTCTGTTCATATTAAATATAAAAGAAAACTGCATTTAAAAATTTCATAGTAAATATCACATAGAGCTTCTGTTTAAAGGTAATGACTTACCTAATTTTTTCCTTAATTTTTTTGATTTCATTTTCTGAGCTCTCTTTAGCATCTGCTGAGCTGTAGAAATATCCTTAAAACCCCTGTTGAAAAGAGAAATTTAACATACCTAAGGCATATTTAGACAAGTACATACATGAAAATGTACAGTTAAATTATATCACATGCGATAAATTTGTAATCTCACTTAAGAAAGCCTAACTTATTGCAAAGGTTAGTTTCTTAAAGACTTTTTTAATCTGCCGCACCCCCCCGCCCTCACACACACACACACACAAAGGTCTGCCTTGGATTTCCAGCAATACTCCAATTACTTATTTTCTTTAGTGTAAAATAGAGGACTTACCATTCTTCTGAAATTTTTTCTTCCTTTTCAGATTGCAGTAAACTCTTCCTACTCATGTTTGATTCGGAGGTCCAGGATAAAGTTCTGTTTTCTGATCTGCTAACAGAAATGCACGTTTTTGTCTTTTGTAATGGAATCAACACGAGTACATCAGCTCTCTTAAGAACGGCAAGCTGTTTATGTTGTCTCCAACTTGGAAATCAAATATATTTAAGCCACAGAGGCGCTTTATCTTGAGAAGTAATAAAAGTCTTCCATTAATTTAAAGTGTTTACATTTCAATTACACGGAGCATATTTCAGTTCTTTTGCTGAAAGGACTGTGGCACTGGGATCTTCATTCTAGACCTCCTCTCTACCTGTCAAGCCATGAAGATCCATTTGTACAATGATTGCATTATTTCACCAAAGTATAAGTTTTGTCACCTCTTTTGTGCATCTCCACACATTTTGAACACTGAAATTTCTATATTAGCATTACATGTGTTTTGTCGTCTGAACCACTCAGTTCACTTCTATTTTTATCATTGCTCTACATGTGTAAGGGGTTTGTTCTTTCGGCTTTGTCATTCATAAATTGATTCCCACTTAAAAGAGTAATTTAGCTTACCTGCTACTTAACTGCGTGTGTTCTGATGAAAGCAAATTTTCGTTCTCATTGCATAGCCATGCCTGAGATGGATGAGTTGGCACACTAAGGGACATTTCATCATGTTTCAAAGTCCGAGCATTCTTATTTTAAAAACATAAATAAATGGAAAGTAAATCGAACAATTCCAACATTTGTATTGCTACCTAACATGTATAAACCTGAACAGTGTCGAAAGGGACATTCATTACAAAATTAAAAGGATGATCAGATGAAATTTCTGGAACATGCTTAAATATTCTTTTATTACATGGGGAAGAATCTGCTTTTTAGTATAGCTCATGCATACAAAATGATTAACTGCAAAGCTTAAAAAGTTTAAAAAACACACAAACTTCAAAGATTATCAAGTAAATAACAGATATTGCGGCCCCTTGACCTCTGGCTGAGGATCCTCAGCTGCTGTCTCTCAGGGACCATTTCTGCATTTTTTTTAAAGTGCCATCAACTGGTGATTTTAGTCTATTGCCAAATATGCAGCTGAGGCGCATCAGTTTTTTTCTGGCTACTGTTAAATAAAGCGTTGAAAGAAATCCAAAGTAAAGAAAAAGTAAAGAGCCAACGAAAGAAAAGCTACATGAAAAATTACAGCTGGGGATGGGGAGGAAGTCAAAGGCTTCTAACAGTAATTATGTTTTTCGAGTCAATAAATCGCAGTATTAATCACCACTGCATAGCAGAACCTTCAGAAGCCAGCAAAGATCGAGCACTCCGAAGCGTCCATGACATTTTACCTTTGGCCAGGGCAGCTGGTTGGAGAGAGGCAGTGTTTGTGAAGGGAAGCCGGTGGAATCTAAAACTGGCCAGTCTTTCTCCAAGGCATCCTGCACAAGGAAGGGCAGTAGAATGGACAAATGTAACTTGCAAACCCGTACCTCGTTTCCTTGAAATTGTACAGTATGTCAGAAATAGTCACAAACTCCACGAGGACTTTCATTTATAATAAAGTTTTACTTGCCCTCACAAGAGGCTCTGCCCCTGGTTAAAGTGCACATTATAAAACATCGATGGGGTGTTCATCCACACACTTTGCTTAAGGAAAGAACTGATACTTGATTGCTCTAAAAGTGAGGAAAATATGGTTCTGCATATTTATTCATTACTGACTTTAAGCTAAGTCTATAAGTAACCAAGAGGTGTCAGTCATGCAAATTATAAGTTCTATTAAACATTGTTATTTAAACTACAATATTTTAACACATTAGAATCAACTATCCTTAAGTATGACATATAAGATAAGGTTTGCCTTAATTTTATTTTCCAAATTTCAGAAGTATTTTGGGTGGACATAAAAATTTGTAAGAATGAATTAAGAATATATAGTATGTCACTTCTGATGTAATTTTTCTTCAATACAACACTTCATATGTGAAAAAAGCTAGTTCATACTTCAAGTGTGAAATTTCTACTTTGTAACACCTTTCTCTTCATCCTGAATCATATTTGTCCCACTTATCTAGTTCCCAACCTTATTCTTTATTCAACAAAGTTATATTAATTATATAAGTGCTATACATTTAAGATACAATTATCTGAATTTTATTTCATTGGGTTATCTTAGCCGATATATCTTAGAATAAACTTCTGTGAACAAGGATCACCACAGTACTGATTAGCCTTGGGAAAGCTATAAAATAGCCAAACATTTTGAAAATTAGGAGCATGATATTCTAAGGGGATAGTAACAGAGTTTTCCATTCATACAAATTCAATCTGCCCTGGATTTTGAATGACTACTGAAAATGTGGACTAAAACACAGTGATTATTGGTATACTAGGTAATAACACACTTTCAGTTGAGCACTAGTCTTAAGACACAGAATCAATTTCATGGTATTTTGATATCACGGAAATGGAACAACTATACCCAGTTAAGTATTTTATGGGATTTTCTATTATGCATTATTAAGATAAAAACATTTATCTCATAGTTATATTGAGTTTAATAGTTGCAATTGGGCAGTGAGAAGTTTAAGAAATCTATGAAATTTTGTGGTGATTATGGCAAATAAAAATCTGCTAAATATCTCTGAGAGATTTTTGGCTACACTCACGACAAAATAATAAGTATACTGGTTACTGTACTTGACGATAAAATTAATATTTTGATTCTATCAAGAAGGCATGTTTTAAAGCATTATGTTGTGAATAATAAACATAGAAAATTTTTTGTCTTTCAAATAAATTATTTAAATGTGAATATTCACAAATAAAGCATTATTGGAGAGACAGAGAGAGGGCATAGGAGAGAATTCTCACTGAAACCTTTAGTGTTCTTCTTTCCCATTATCTTAGAATGATAAGAAAACGGTAGCCCATAAAAAATGCTATAGTTCTGTTAGTCGCACTTTGAAATGAAAGAGTTGACATGAAGGCCATTTGCTTTGATATTTCTGGAAAAGTTATGAAAACAAGATATTGCCAATGTTTGCAACATATTTAAGCTGCTAAAATTAAGTACTTGTTAAATCATGTCAGAAGTTCAGTAAACTCACATTGACTTCTACATTTAGAGTGGGCTGTCTGGTTCATGACATATGAAAAAAAATTTGATGACGGTCCTTTAAAAAAAGACTTGCAGTCCGAACAAGATTTAGGCTCAATTTGTAAAATTATTTTCTTAATGGCAATTCTGGGGATGTCCTTGTGTATGCTGTGACTATGTGTTTCTCTTATTGATTGATGAATAAAGTTTCTTCTGCCCAATGGCTTAACAGAGTAAAGTCAGTCAGGAAATAAGGACAAGGATAGAGAGAGGTTGTAGGTGGGATCAAAGAGATGCCATGTAGCCACCAGGGAGGCATCACAGGTAAGCCAAAGTCACAGGATGATACACAGATTAATAGAAATTGGTTAGTTTATAAGAGATAGTGAGGCAATAAGTAGCCTAAGTCATTGCCCAAGCAATTATAAATAGATATTAAGCCTTAGAGTGGTTATTTTATAAATGGCTGTGGGTACCCAATGGGGAGAGAAAAATTGGCCCAGTAGGACTCAGACTAGATGGAGAGATGTCTCCCTCTACATGGCAAGGTAGATTTACTCAAGGAAAGATCACAGCTTGCTGCAAACCAGCTATCATCAAATAGTGATCTTATTGTAAGGGAAATGGTTCAAGTGAGAAGACGACAACTAGGGAAAGGCATTGGGCCATCTGACTAGTAGCTAAGGAGACCACTGATGCTGTCAGGCCTGGCATTAATTTACATTGATCTTGTAACTGAAAAAAACAAAACAAAACCCAAAAATCATCCTTTAAAACACCTGTCAACCCATCTCATTTTTTTCTGTCCAGGGAGTACTACGCTAGCAGAACTATAGCAGTATTCTATGTAGAAATTCTCCCTATATTGGTATTCCAATAGCAGTACCCAAAATTATAACTAGGACAATAAGACAACAAGAGGAGATCAAAGGGATACAAATTGGAATGGAACAAATATAATTTTGCTGTTTACAGATGATATGATAGTATGCATAAGTGACCTAAAAATTCTAGCAGAGAACTCCTACAGCTGATAAACACCTTCAGTAATGTGGCAGAATACAATATTAACTTAAAAAATAGGTAGCCATCCTATATACAAATGACAAACATAAGAAAGAAATCAGAGAAACATCACCCTTTGCAATAGCCACAAATAACAAAGTGTCTTGGGGGCAACTCTAGCCTACCAAGGGAAAGACCTGAATGACAAATACTTTAAGTCTTTGAAGAAAGAAATTGAAAGATATCAAAAAATGTAAATCTCTCATGCACTTGGATAGGCAGGATCAACATAGTAAAAATGACAATCTTACCAAAAGATTGTCAGATTCATTTACATATTCAATACAGTCTCCATCTAAATCCCAACACAATTTTTCACAGATCTTAAAAAAACAATATTCAGTCAACTTCACATGGAAAATAAAAAACCCAAGATAACTAAAACAATCCTGTACAATAAAAGGAACTTCCAAAGGCACCATCCCTGACATCAAGTTCTACTATAGAGCCATAGTAATAAAAACAGCTTGGTATTAGCAGAAAAACAGACACATGGATCAATGGAATCTAATAGAAGACCTGGATATTAATCCACTTATCTATGAACACCTTATTTTTGACAAAGAAGTCAAAATAAGAAAGCATCTTTGACAAATGGTGCTGGCAGAAGTGGATGCTGACATGTTGTTGATTGCAGACAGATTCATGTCTATCCTCATGCACAAAACTCAAGTTCAAATGGATCAAAGAACTCAACATAAATCCAGTTACACTGAATCTGATAGAAGATAAACTGGGGAATAGCCTTGAATGCATTAGCACAGGTGACCGCTTCCTGAACGTAATACCGGTAGCACAGACACTAAGAGCAACAATAAATAAGTGGGACCTCATGCAACTGAGAAGCTTCTGAAGACAAAGGACATTATCAACTAGACATAATAACAGCCTATAGAATGAGAAAAGATCTTCACCATCCCCACATCTGACATTGGGCTGATCTCTAAAATATATAAAGAACTTAGGAAACTAGACATCAAAATACCAAATAGTGCAATTTAAAAACGGGGTGTAGATCTAAACAGAGAATTCTGAACAGAACAATCTCAATGGTCAAAAGACACTTAAGCAATTGTTCAATAGCCTTAGCCATCAGGGAAATGCAAATCAAAAGGACACTGAGACACTATCTTATACCTCTCAGAATGGCTAAGATCAAAAACACAGAGAACAGTTTATGTTGGAGAGGATGTGAAGTAAGGGGAACACTCCTCCATTGCTGGTGGGAGCTCAAACTTGTATAGCCATAGTGGAAATCAGTGTGGCAGTTTATCAGAAAATTGGATATAAAGACCCAGCAATATCAGTCTTGGGCATATACCCAAAAGATGCACAATCATACCACAATGACATTTGTTCAACTGTGTGTATAGCAGCATTATTTGTAAAGCTAGAACCTGTAAACAACCTAGATACCCCTCAACTGAATAATGGATAAAGAAAATGTGGTCTTTTTACACAATGGGGTATTACTCAGTGGTAAAAAAATAAATGACATCATGAAATTTATAGGCAAATGGATGGAACTAGAAAAAATAATCCAAATTAAGGTAACCAAGACCCAGAAAGACAAACACAGTGGATATTAGAATCAAAGCAAAGGTAACCAGGCTACAATCTACAACCCCACAGAAGCTAGGTAAAAAGGAGGACTCTAAGAGGGACACACATGGAGGGCCCCAGAGAGGAGAAATAGTTAAGATCTCCTGGGTAAACTGAGACTGGGAGGCAGAAGGGAAGAGATAGTGGACAGGACCATGGGGGACTGAGATGGTCAATTAGGAGATGGGACAGAGAGGCAGAGCAATGAAAGAGATATCTTGATACAGGGAGTCATTATGGGGTTAGGGAGAAATCCAGTGCTAGGAAAATTCTCAAGATCCACAAGGATGAGTCCAGCTAAGGCTCCTAGCAATAGTGGAGAGGGTGCCTAATGTAGCCTTTCTCTATAATAAGATTAGTGACTACCCTAACTGTTAACATAGATCCTACATCCAGTAACTGATAGAGGCAAATGGGCCAAGCACTGAGCTGAACTCCTGGACTTCAGTTCAAGAATTAGATCTTCTGAATGTGGCTGACAGTTATGTGGCTTGATTTGGTTGGGGGGGGGCTCTGGCAGTTGGGACCAGTACTTATGTTGGGTAAATGAACTGCCTTTTTGGAGTCTATTTCCTATGGTGGAATACTTTGCTCATCCCTGATGCAGGGAGTAGGGGCTGGTTCTTGCCTCAACTTGTTAAATCAGATTTTGTTGACTTCCCAAAAGAGGCCTTACCCACTCTGAGTAGATGGGGGGATGGGAGAAGATGGGGGCAGGAGAAGGGGAGAGAGAGGAAAACTGGGTTGGTTTATAATAATGAAAAAAAATTAAATACAAAAAGGAAAAAAAACAAGAAAACTGGGTTGGTTTATAATAATGAAAAAAAATTAAATACAAAAAGGAAAAAAAACTAAACACAGAACATATAGGACAAACGGAAAAAATAACACAGAAGGCACTTGCCAAAGAAATCTGTGTAGACATAAATAGAGAGCAAGTACTCCTGAAACAAATACTTAAGCAGAGAAACTAGAGTAAAAGGGGAAACTGCATTGTGGATGGCTCCGTGATGCAATGATTTAATTATTATGAGTATGTACATTCTAACCAAAGCCTCAAAAGAGGAGGCCTACACTCTCATATAAAAACTAAAATGTGTTTTAAGATACCCATAACCATAATTCAGAGATCACCAGGGGAACCAATGATTATTTACAAACAGATAAAAATTAGTATATTGATCTGTGCTGGGAGAAGGTTCAGTCTATAGAGTGCTGGCTATGTGAGACTGTGGCGCACACTGCAATCCCACTCCTCATTAGGGTGACAGAAGGTCCCCAGGGACTTGTCTGCTATTCTTTCCCATTACTGAGTTTCAGCTTCAGCCACAGACACTGTCTCGAAAAAAATTCATTTGGACAACTATACAAGATGGCAGCCATGATAGCAGACATCTTCCTCTGTCCTCTACGTGTGCCCACAACCACATATAACCACATAAAAAGGTTGCAATTCACTTACTGCTTACAGAGTATTCATCTCTTTTTCTTTTTAAAAACTGTGTGTATCTGTTATCTGTGTTTGGTTTTGTGCACATGAATGCAATACCTTTGGCGGCCAACAGAGGGTGTCAGATTCCCTGGAGCTGGTTTAGTGTTGTGCCTGTGAGTCCTCCCAATGTGGATTCTCCACAACATTATTCTGCTCTGATCCACTGCACTATCTCCCCAACCCATTTATTTAATGTTTACATAGAGCATGACTCCAGACTAAACTTCCTAATACAAACTTTACATTCCTTGAGTGAATCAATGTAGTATCCTAAAATAGTCTTTCTCAAAGTAGGAAGACAGAAAACACATCAAAATCGAATGTATAAGACCAAAACAGCCTTCAGATCAAAACTCAAAAAAAGCTAAAGAAGAAAGACAGTTTACAGGCTCAACAGTTTTTAAAATGCAAAAAAAAAAAAAAAACTAAGCAAAATGGGCTAAGTCAAAATGACTTATATGCTAATACCTGCATTATACTACATTGATTTACTCAAGGAATGTAAAGTTTTGTATTAGGAGGTCAATGGTTTATATATGAAAACTATCTCATAAAATTAAAAGAACATATGATCCTCACCACCACGATCACTGTAATCTAGAATTGTTAGGAAAGGTGACAGCATCCTAATGCACAAAGTTTCTACAGGAGATGAAAAGAAAACATTTTACTTAGAGACTACATGTTAAAAGTCTCCAACTTAAAACAAGGCAAAGCAAAAAAGATATTTGCTTTGATTACCATAATTCAAATTGCATTGGACATAGGAATCAAGAGAATAAAGAAACATTAAAATGTATAAGAATAAGAAATAGAAATAGAATAAATTTTTTGTTATTTGTAGATGACATAACTGTACATACAGGCATTTAGAAATTTTGACAAATTATATACTAACATTGGGATTAATTTTAGCAAACTGACTAAAAGATTAATATGTGAAAACTAATCCAATTTACAGAATTGACTTTAATATTCAAACTTACTAAACATCGAGGAATAAATTTAACTTAACTACTTGGGAAAGCTATAAAAGAAATCTTCATAGTTTCTCTCTAATGTAGCTATCTCAAAACTTTGTATTTTTCTGTTGGCATTATAATAACAGAGCAGAACTCAGTATCTCATAAACACAAGTCACTATAGAGAAGTCTTTTCTGATTTGAGTTCATTGTTAATACATTTGGTAAAAAAGGAACACGGGTTCTGTTTCACTCATTTCTTATCTTCAAAAATGGGGTAAATTATTTTTGAAGACCAGCAGAGATAAAGTTACCATGATAGCTAAAGTAGAATGATATTACAGTTAAGCTCTAAATATGCTTTGGAAAGCAGTTGATTTATTTTCAAAGTAACTGGAATTTTATTATTAGGAGAATATTTTTCAATGAGTAATAATGAATTATCAATGATGTGTCATGTCACTATGTTCAAATGCAACCAGGCAGTTACAATTAACTGATGGAGTTATTGAGTAGAAAGATAGGATCTAAGACCCTCACTGGGTCCATGAAACCATAGTAAAGTCAAGCCCTATATTCACTGTTTTCTCTTATATATGCACATAGCTCTGATAAAATATAGTTAATGAAACATTTATGAGTCTCAAAACAATATAATAAAATAATGAATAATAAAACAGGACAAGTGTCCTAATATACTGTAATAAAACTGCCAGAACAATTAATTTTGTATTCCTAACTATAAGAGTGAAATCATCCTAATCACAAACATTGTAATTATGCAGTGTTTGGCTGAGAAGTAGCTTGGGAGCAGGTAGGGCATATGCCGTAGATATAGATACATAGCACAAAGAGCAAAGCAGGCAACTCATGTCCTGGACAAGATGAAGACTGATGGGGGGAGATGTCACAACACTACTCAGGACTATGGACAATTGATAAATTGTTTATTTCCATTCAGCATTTTCATAGCATAAACGAAAGTGGAATTTTGTATTAACTACAAGTATCACAGTCATGAAGTACAAAGAGAGACTTGAGGAGTTGTTTCATTCAAAGGAGATGAAGGAAAAGATGCCAAGTACTTGCCACCTACAATCCTGGCTTACTACATCTCAGACTAAAAGCTGGAAATTAGTACAACAGCTGTAAATTTGAATAAGGTCAAGTACATCATAATTTTCTCTCAATGTAGTTTCCTCATCATTTTCACTGTGGTTAAAGAAGGCATTAACCTCCAAAGAATCATGTCCAAGAGGACAAAATGACATCTAACCATTCCATTGCCACTTTATACATTGTGCAAACCAGAAGGGCAGAATAAGAAAACTGTGTAAGGTAGCAGTAATACCTACCTTACAATGTTACTAACTAGCTTGGGAAGTGTCTCAGAATACACAAAATGGCCAGGATGTATTCAAGGACGGTGTTTACCTACAACATTTCCAGCAACCAGCTGAGGAGTTAGTTTTGAAACTGTCTAGAACAATAGTTTAGGAGCAATATTTGTGTGTTATAGTTGGTTGGCACTTACCTCATCATATTCAAAATCCTCTAAATCTATTTCTTCATATTCCTCTCCAGATTCTTCATTCCTGATAGCCTCCAGGGCTGTCGCCAGTTTCTTTCGTAAAATAAAGCCCTTCCAAACTGCCTGAACAAAAATGTGAAGTATGTTATGCAGGGTTACAGATCAAACCCTACACCAGATTCTCTGTGTTATCCCATTAGGAAGATAAAACATCTTAGAAGTTAGTTTAATGGCTCAATAATCTGTTTCTTGAACTTTATGTGACATGTAAAACTGCAAGATAAATTAAATGACCACATGTGTCCGCATCTCCAGAGACTTCCTTTGTGGTAAGCGGAGAAGTATCTTTAACACTCCCCTCACTGCACATGTAGGTCAGCCAATCAATTATCTGACAATTCCTCCAGGACCCATTCTGAACCAAGAAGAAAGACATTTTTCAGAGGTCAATTTTGCTCATTTTCAAATCATTATGTTTAAAATAAGACAAAGCTCATTTAGAAAAACCCCCGTGTATTTAAATGGCCATATTAAGGAGGTAGTATCATGGCCCAAAATAAATTAATTTCAGGAAAAAAATTAAGTCAACACAGAATAATGCAACTAAAAATAGTCAGGGCCCTAAGAGTCCTGGAATAGAGACGCTCCCCAGCCAGTACAGCACAGCTCCAGAGAATAGGTGATGTTCATAATTGCAAGACTGACCTTTAGGATGCATGAGGTATGAAACCAACAGTGAGACACATGAATATGTTGAAATACATATGTATGCTTGATTGCTTACATTTAAGAATAAAATACTAAATTATGAAATCAATTTGTAAATGGCTATATACAATACATCAGGCTTGGATTTCCCACCATTAGGGAGGTAGAGACAATGGGTCTAGGCGAGGCCAGAGGCTAGCCCAGTTTTAGAGTGAATTCCAGGCCCTGTCTTAAAAATTAATAATAAAAGCCTTAATTCTCAGATCAATCAACATTTACTTGAATATGAATTTGAAGCCATGTGCATGTTTACAATAATTCTTAAAAACTAAAGTAAATGAATATGAATAGGAAACCATTAGAAAGTAAGAGTATGACTCATGCTCTGTGTATAATTCTACAAGTATTTAAAGAGATTTTTAAAAAATGGATTTATTTGGTTATAACCTAAAAAAACACACCTCAAAGGCAAATCTGACTATGAAAGGTATTTTAGAAGTCTTGAGTAATCAGATTCATTTATAACAATATTAATGATATTTTTGTTACCCTGAGAATCAGAATATACAAAGTGGCCAGACTGTATTCATCGAGAGAAAGCAGCCACATCTGCCACAGCTAGTCTCAGAAGTCAGACCACAGCTCCTCAGAGAAGAATCCAGGAAGCTGGATCAGAACCTAAGCAACTGGCCAAGAACCTCTGAGAGGTGTCAGTGGACTGACAGCCTTGAGCTTTTATCCCTATAAAAGACTCACTGAAGAATGCTTCCTATGTTCTGCAAACCAATCAGATAGCTGCTTCAACCCTAGGGCCCTCCTACCATTGTCTCCAGCAGCAACCACCAGGCACAGCAGACCTGATGCTTCCCATTTCTTTCCTTCACTATAAGGCACCGCATTCTCTTCCTGTCCTTAAGCCACTGTGGTTGTGAATACTACGGAACATTTGGAATAAACCAGCTGCGTGAGGGCCCAGTGTGGGACCTTCTTCTTTCCTTTCCATTATTTGTGTATTAAAGTCCTGACCTGGTTACACACATACTACACAGGTGAAGAATAAGAGAGAGAAAGAGAAGAAGACAATTAAATATGTCATGGGGACCAGATTTTCTAAAGAAGAAAATAGATGCCCATATAGAGTCAAATAAATGAAAATGTTAAGGTCTTAAATGTGATTTTAAAATAACTGTATGAACAGTGTAAAGGATCACTGTTCTGTCATGTGGCCCATCATATATAAATCTGGAAGAGTAAATAAGGACCATCGGTTTTGAAATGTATTATTTCTCACATGCTATGCACAGATGGTAGACTTAAAACATGCAGTAAGTGGGTTTTCTTTTCTAACAGTGGTAGGGGCTTAAAATGGACAAGATAAATAATGAAAATATACAGAAGGCTAATAAATGATACAGTCTAATAATGGTCAGGGGCATGGGAGACAGTTTAGAAAATTGCATTTAGGAAATGGAATATCCCAAGACTCCACATGTTCTTGCAAACTCATTTTGTGGTCAACTTACCTTGTAATTAAATTGTCAAAGATGTCATCAAAAAGCATCCAAACACACAGAAAAGTCCTACATTGCCTGGCACTACCCAGACAAATGCAAAGTCTACTGAACTTGCTATTACTGATAACATCTGTCAGCAATGTGGTCCTGGGCAGAACTTTGAGGATGTTGACACAGGAAGACACAGGGCATACAGTGCCTCCCAGTGTGACTACTCTCTTTGCAGTGATGGAATCTGAACAAATGAAGAATCAAGAGCTTAATCTTCATAATGACATCCTTCTTTTCTCTGACAACAGTAGTGAGTTTTTTCTAGTTCTATTAAGCAGTGAAGACAGAGACTTATTGTTGCTCAAGTTGCTAAGTATAAGTGGTTATTTAAAGGAATATACTTGTTGAGCATGGTAATGTTTCCATTCTTACCCCAAAACTTGTGAAACTCTCTGGCTTCCAGGGACAGGGCCTTACTCTCTGATCTGGTTGCACTATCAGAAAGACCAACTGTCTATCACTCAATTTCTCTGCCCATCCATTGTTCACATGTGATGTGGAAATTGAATTCTTCCTCTCAACCCCAAGGCATCCTTCTCAAACACTGTTCATGTTCTACTGCTTTCATCTCCTGTCCTCCTTTCTCCAATGGAAGAAAGTTGTCTCAATCTCCTCATCAATAGACACAATTTCCCTTCTCCCAACATAACCTTCAAAGTAGTAACAAATACATTAGAGATGGATGTCGTGGTATTTGCATGTATCCTCCCACCTGGAAGACTACTACAAGTGAGTTGGGATTGTAAAGTTAGCTTTGGCTATATAATGAGTTTGAAGCCAGCATCATCACTTTATCTCAAAATATAAGAAAAAAAAGTGAGACTACAGATTCCATTCTTACACTGACAGACAGACATGTCATTTCCAGGAAAAGCAGGTGGTATACCTGGGAGTGCAAAAGGGAATATATTCTCATTTCTTTTTAAGCCAAATTTTTTACTTTTGTTGATTTGTCTTTTACCTAATCTGTGGATTTCTTATTCAGTTTACGATTTTAGCCAATTTACACCAAGATTAAATTGTAATCTGTTGTATAGTAATGACCACATAGTAGTGCCACAGAGTGGACACTTATTAAATATTACTAATCCTAAATTCCTGGCCTTTTCTTCTAGCAACTCTATGTACTTAGCATACCAATTAAGTAAGTCATGTGACATTAAATATTCCACAAATTTAAAAGACACATTTGCCGGGCAGTGGTGGCGCACGCCTTTAATCCCAGCACTCGGGAGGCAGAGGCAGGCGGATCTCTGTGAGTTCGAGGCCGGGCTGGACTGATAGCCCCGAAACAATACAGAGAAACCCTGTCTCGTAAAAACCAAAAAAAAAAAAAAAAAAAAAGACACATTTGACTGACTCCTGGTCACTTTTAGATCTCAGCATGAACTACAGTAAAGACATAACAAAAAGCTCCATTGAGTAAGTAAATGAAAATAGAAACAGTTCTCAATCAAGTTAAGATTCATTTTGAAATTTGGTCTTTGGTGGTACTAAGGTAAAAAAATGTACATTTATTTATTTACTTACTTATTTAAATTTCTAATTAGCATAGAAAGTAGCACTTTTTCATACCCATTTTCTTTTGATTGATTCTCCATTCTGCCACTCTTCCCCTCCATTTCTCTGGGCCATGGCCCACTGTATCCCTCTATTTCCAGAATTCCCCCTCTTTCAATTCTACTTCTGGACTTCCAAGTTTGAAACTAAAGCAAGTATGTTGAGAACTTTAAAATCTTGTTAGAGTTTTAAATGTACTTCTATAGTAGTTACCAATTAGGTCAAATTATTAGCTTTTAGTACTCAGAGTTTAGATGGTCTACCAAACACTATAATGAGATAGTGGTACTTGGAGACCATAATTAAAAATCCTCCAACTAAAACACGCCCAAGACCAGATGGATTCAGTGCAGTATTCTACCAGACCTTCAATGAACTAATGTTAATACTCAAATTGTCCCATAGTAGAAAAAGGGAAAGTTTCAAATTCTTTTTATGAATAATGTTTCTATCACACACTAATACCAAAACCACATAAAGATCCAATAACAACCAAATAAACAGAATGATACGCCAATCTCCCTGATTAATATGAATTTAAAATTCTAAATACAATGCTTAGAAACTAAATTGAAGGAAACATAAACAAGAACATTCACAATCTAGTCATTTTCATTCCTGAAACGCATGATTTGCTTAACATATGTAAATCAGACACACTCAAGGATAGAAACTACATGATCATCTCAGGCTACTGACTTTTACATTAATTTTGTGTTCTTCTACTTTGTCATTAGCTATTAGGAACAATGATAAGTAGACTCAGTGGACCTTTAAAAGAGCACTTGAATTTGAGAGGCAAATGCAGTGAGGGGGAACATAGAAAAATAGAATGGGGTGGTGGATTTGATCAAAATTCACTATGTATGCATATTAAATTCTCTACAAAAGAACCTAAAGCAGATAATAAAAAATGGAAAGATACAAAAGATCAATAGCTGTCTATATACCAACTACAAACATACTAAGAAAGAAAGCAGGAACCAAACCAATATTTATAATAGCCTCATAAAATATCTTGAAATAAATCAAATCAAGGAGGCAAAAGACTTCTACAACAAAGAGAAGTTTTACATATTATTATGTGCTTTAGTTTGAGTCAGACTCCTGGTCATAATATTTCAGATTTAGGGACTGTATCTAGAGTCTTCATAGTCAACAGAATCATAGCCACCTACTTTCTAGCCAGCAGCCTGAAAATCAATGCAAGTATAAAATAAATTCAAATAACTTTAAATCACTGACCCTTTTAAAAATACGGAATAGCTGATGAGTGAAAGATGAGTAAAATATTTTTGATGACTAGCTCCGCTATCAAGAGTTTGAAATTAACCTGGATATGAAAAGCGGCCTTCTCCCTCTCTTCTTGGACATTCATATTTTTTCTTCTTTCTTTATTTGAAGTAGTCCCATTATTGCTAAAGGGATTATGCAGGGGTTCTGCGGTGGTAGGATTCATTTTTGCAGAGAAATCAACCTGTCTGCGTGCAATATAACTACGCCATTGGGACTGGATTAACACAGCTGCCTTACTAAAAAGAGAAAGAAAAAAAGAAAGAAAACTATTTTGGTAAACATGAAAACATAGAAGGTAAAAAGAGGTCGTCATAGGCTGCTGCAAGATATATCTTCTATATTTGATATGGAAACTTCACTCATGGGCTCTCAACAATAAATGTGCCCAAACAAGACTTGGCACCACCATGACAACAGCACTTGTATGTTATTGTGGATGAAGATAATCTTATGAAGCTCCACCCCCGCTGAGAGAGGAAAATCAGTGTTAATCAGGAGTGAGCCTCCGATAGGTTATCCAGTCCCACATGGTTATCCCTAAACACATATGAACAACATTAAATGCATAAATAAAGTTGTATTTATAAACACATATGTGCACATATACATATGTAACACATAACTAAGAAGTTATAAATTTGACAATGAGTAAAGGAGACACAGGAAGAGTTGGAGGGAGAAGGAGGGGTGAAAATTTTGTAAATACAGCACTCACAAGAAATCTCAAAAATAAAAAGGTCTTTGTAACCTGTACATGAGTATAAAGGATATAAAATGTCATTTAAAAACAAAATTCCTTCTTTGTTAATTTTGTCATAAATGTAAACTAGTATAGATACCCATTGTTCAGAGAGAGATTTAGTTTCAGAGAGATTTTTAAATTTTCTTTTGCTTTAATTCATTAAAGATGAAAGATATTACAGAGATTCTTCTATATAATCAGGACACTGTAAAAAGTTGGGGCAGGGTGTACAGAAAGAGGGGTTATAGAAATATAAAAAACCAATATGGACTTGGCAAGAAGGGTTAGGTGCTTATTACTATGGGCTGCCTTAGAGAGGAAGAGGAACAACACTCTTAACATTCTTTGTGGTAAAAGGAAGGACACTAGCAGGGGTTTACCAGCTTTTCTTCACTTCTTGGCCATTTGAAAACAGTCAACTAACTTATACGCCCATTAAGAAATTCTCACATGTCATAGCTAAAAGTGATTTGTCAATTTCAGACACCTAGTAGCTCTCCTGAGTTGGAATTTGTTTCCTTTCTCATACAGGCTATTGAAGGAATTTTTATCATGGTACAGGGTGTAATCAAAGTGCTAGCTATTCTACCTTAATTTCTTGTGAAATTCCTGAGTTTGACTTAAAAAGTATTTGCAGAACAGATTCCATTCCTCAAAATTTTCTTGGCAGAGTTTTCAATAAATTTATGTTTGTTTTGGTGGGTTGAATGAGATGTTCCCCATTGTCTTGACCGTTTAAATAGTTTGTCTCCAGGTTTGAGACATGTACTCCCATTTGGGGCTCCAGACACTGAGCCTCCCAGCTTCCATGCTGCCTTGATCTGACAGTGATGGATTATATCTCTCTGGAACCTTATCTTCAGAAAAACCTCTTCTTCTACTCATTGCCTTGATTAGGTGTGTTATCACATCAATAGAAATTAACTTACACAAAATTTGGTACTAGGGAGTGGGTTATTTTGTGAAAAGCCTGCACATGTTTTTGTGGGAATGTAGATGACTTTGGGGCTTTGGACTAGAAAAATTATTGAATGTTGGAAAGAGAGAGACTGATAAGCTATTTTAGAGGAACTTGGAAGCCAGCAATACTGAAAGCGATTTGGACCATGGAGACAAAGTTTCTAAGGGGAGCAAATAGTATAGCAACTTTGAATATTGTTACATTTTAGCACACACACACATACACACACACACACACACACACACACACACACACACACAAAGAAAGAAAGAAAGAAAATGTGGCTAAGTTCTGCCCTTGTCCTAAGAAGTTTCTTCAGGCTACATCTAAATCCAATGAACTAAATTCTTTGTTAGAGGAGACTGCAAAAAGATTGAGTATTGATCCTGTCTTGCGGTGACTGGTAATCACTATTGTGCATGTCTACAAGGAAGAGCAAGTGGGCAGAGAAAGATGCTGCAGCCAAGGTTTGTATTGAGACACATCAGGAGATTCAGGAAAGGCTTGATCTGCTCTGGAAGGAAGGGAAGAGTATCACCCAGCTAAGCTTCTCAAGTCTGAAAGTAAAACTCCTAAGGAATTTTCTGCTCCAAGATGGGAACAACAAACAAAACTTCCACAAAGTCAATCCAGGGGCCAAGGATCTATCCCAACCTGTCAGCCATTTCTCCTATACCTACCCAAATGCACCACAAACTAGGATCCCAGTATTCGAATACCTGCGACAGGGGTGTAGGAATTCTAGCATTACACTGACCCCACCCCCTGACGATGGGTGGGACATGCACAGTGACATAATCACTAAGTCACTCATTACGGGCCCCTGCACATATGCAGCTCCTCCTTTTTAAGCTCTGCCACCATCTCTCCCCCTCTATGTTCTTCGGGGTTGGTTCCTTCTGAGACCCCTTTCTTTCCATCTCTACCAATAAATTCTACGTGGGACTGTTGACTTACCACTTGTGTCTCATCAAGGTAAAGTTTAGACAATTTAACAACAAGGAGCATCTCATTGAAACCACCACATCCCATTTCTCTACCCCTACAGCCCATGTCATAATGAAAATGCATTTAGTCCTTCATAGTTTTGCAATCTCAATAATATTCAAAGTCCAAAGTCTCTTCTAAGACACACATGCAAACAGTGAATATAACATCTATAAAAGAAAAAGTTCTCACTTTTTTTCACTGTGTTCAGTACTTTGAGGACTACTCATTGGAGAATTTGCCATCTTCATTTCTATGAATGAGGTTCCTCTGGCAGAGGGACTATGTATCCTGCTGTGTGCCATGTTTTCCTCCTGATTTCTCCCTTCAGCTTCTTCACAGATTAATGGGGGCGGTCTATTGTCAGAGTCTATCAGGTTTCCAGAAGTATTTGGTGAATCTGCTTCATATTTGTTTTGCAGTGTACTGTTGGTGTTGGAAAGGGCTGGCTGGGTTTCCTTGGTTTCCGGTTCCACCCTCTTTATGACTGTCGCATCCCCACATTCATGTGCACGTCTGCATTCATTACTGAGTTTCATTAGGCTCTTATAATAGTGACAGAGCTTGTCTGCAGCATGCAAAGTCAGAATGCTCCTGAACAAATGAAAGACCAGAACATTAATTAAGTAGACCTACCTACACCTATGGACACAAAAATGTGTCGGTTTTAAAAATAAGATTTACTATAGGGTCAAAGATAGACTTAAATTGGCAACACAATTCATTATACCTTATTTTTCATCATTGATGCACAATTTTATATTATTTTAAATAAAAATCAAAACATTAGTTTACTAAGATCTGTGCCAAAGAAGTCAGAAGGAGTGAAATTTTAGGTCCATTTTAATTTACTGTATTTTTCGTTTCAAAAAAATCAAACCTTTTACTATAATGATAGGAATAATGACTACCTAAATTTGGAGATGTTATTCACGAACTAAAAATACTTTCTACATTGATTATTATCACACAAAATATTTGTATTGGGTAGTCAAAGAACTTAAATTATGGGAAAGTTTTTTATTTGTGTTTTTCTATGGACAACTGTTATCAATGGCAAAGATAACTAAATCATAAATGACTAATGTTCTTGAAAAATTATTGCATTTCTATATTTTGGGCTTTATTCCTATATAATTGATAAAAGTTCTGTTTCTACTCATTTGAAAAGCTTAACAAATGTAAAGGACTTGAGCTGAGTGACCCCCCACTCATAGTCACAATTTTAACCTCCATTATTCCTGCTTACTTTTAAGTATCCAGTTCAGTTCACAGCACATGTACAGTATGCACAAGTCACTTTATCCCACCCCATCCCTGAAAAAACATGCAAACAAGTTACAACCTGACAACTAGTTTATGGATACAGTTAACAAATAGTAATAACTTGCTTGAATGTGTTTATTACATTCAAAGCAAGTGAAATTTTGAATGTGAATAAGCCATATATTCACAAAAGTTTCAAATAGAGAATGAACTGATAAAAGTTTGTACAACAATTTAAATAGTAATAATTAAATTATTACTTATTCTGCTAGACACTCTTAGAACACACTGGCCATACAGGACAGTTATCCAATACCATTGGTCAACCTTGAAAATATACACATAAATGCCTTTATTTAGACTGAGCAAGTTATATTTAAGTACTTAGGTCTTGTGTGTGTGTGTGTGTGTGTGTGTGTGTGTTTGAACACACACATACAGACAGACATATATATTTATAACAACAATTAAAGAAAAAAGAGGTCTTTCTGGCTTTCTCTTTTGGCTAAAAATTATGAAACAGACTCAACAGATATTTCTAAGAACCAACTGACTCTGGCTCCAGACCTTCCCCAATCAAGGGGAAGGCTTGAGAGAATGAAAGGATGAAAGAGAATAGAAAACTATATAATTATATTATAATCTCAGAAGTAAAGTATTAAGTAAACAAAGAAGACATGGCTTAGTAATTGCACTAAACATTAAGAAGCACATATACTGTTTTTCTCTTTATAATGAACAGCTATAGGTGAAACAATCAGAAATATTAAACCTCATGTATTTTCCGGAGCAATGAAAAATTTAACTTGTGATATGGAGTGATCAGTACAATTCACTCATTGTAATGCATTCAAAATTCAAGATCAAGAAAAGGAAATTATCAGTATTCAGTATTCAGTATTGGATTAGGATAACTCCCAGCATTTGCCCTCTGAATATTTAAAAACACTGATAGTCTTTTTCCACTGGGATGGCATAAGATAATACATAAATACTACATATGTATAATATGGTACTGTAGTGCCATATACTTGAATGTTTTCAAAATTACTTTAGTCACTTTTAACTATGAATTCTTGAAATATACACAATCTTGTAAAAAAATAATTGGTGAATAATTATGACTATTCGATAATGGTAAAGGTAGAAAATACTCCAGACACATTGCTTCTAATCAAACTAGTGTCACCATGGTAATCATAACACATTTAATCATGTGTTTACATTACATTATTTATGTTAAATACAACCAGAGGAAAAAAACAGAATCTTACCCCTTCTGTGTGGTATACTTTTCAGTTAACAAGTTGAACTCTTGAAGTTGGTACTGACAAAGTGCCAAGAACCATGCTAGGTCTTGATGAAAGTATTCTTCAACATGGACATCAGAGTGAGAGTTTAGCATGTCACCATTGAGCATTCTCAGAGCAGGTAGTAGTTTAAGTATAGAATGCCTATTAGGAACAAGATAGTAGTTAATCTTCACAAAGACTTAGTTTTAAAATAGCCACAAAATATCACATCACAAGCATAGCATGTTTATCTCAGAAAAGAATTCAATTTATGTCTCTTTTAGGGTTCTCCTTGTTTCCTAGCTGCTCTGCATTTGTGGACTCTAGGCTGGTTATTCTTTGCTCAGGATGGGGAGAGTGGGGGAAATGGGAAGATGGGAGGGAGAGGGAACTGGGATTGTTATGTAACATAAGATGATTTTTTAATTTAAGTAAAAATTAATTTTAAAAAGAATTAAATTTACCTAAAACATTAATGTTCTGTCACATATGAGTTTTATGTATCTTATGGATTTATCTTAAAATGAATAATAAACTCAAATTTCTAATGAGAAAATCAATGTTGGAAACTTGAGTTAAATTGCAATAGAAAAATGCCACTCTTATTAAAAGAATAATGTAAGAAACTGTATAATGATAATAATTTTGAAAATTACTATTTACTTGAGAATTTAGGCAAACCTTTATCAAGTCTCATTAGAGTATAATGTGAACGGAACTAAAACAGGGAGTGGGGAAGGGTTCTGGTTTTGTATGAAAATGACATCTAGAATTATATTTTCTCCTTAATTTTTATCATGAACTTTTTTGGGTATGATTAAAAGACAAAATTCAGTTCATAACACAAAGGCATAAGAACAGGACAGACAGCAAGAGTTGTAGATTAACTCAGCCATCAGAAAGTACCTGCTCAAGCCTTTCACAAGGAACACGTAAGTATGCTTTACAATGTAGTTAAGTCTGTTTCACAATGGTCCAGTGGAAAACTAGACTTCTTGAACAATAAGGGGGAGCCCTTGGACCCCAGATTGATGGCTGGGTGGACTGTCCCAGACCTCCTGAATGTGGATGTCAGTGAGGAGGCCTAGGTAATCTATGGGGCCTTGGATAGTGTTTATCCTGGCGTACAAATCGACTTTGAGTGCCCATCCCACAATGAAGGATGCTCTCTCAGTCTGAACTCTTGTGGGAGGGCCTAGGCCCTGCCCTGGATGAAATGACAGACTCTGGAGATCCACCATGGAGGGCCTCACTCTCCCTAGGAATCAGAGTGGAGATTGGGTGAGGGACTGGGGGCCTGGTGGGGAGGGTGGGGGAAGAGGGCAGGGAGAGGGAGCTGGGATTGACATGTGAAACAGGCTTGTTTCTAACTTTAAAAAAAAAAGGAAGAAGGAAAAAAAGAAATGAACTCCTTATTAGGGAAAACCTAAGACACTGATGACCAATAGCAAAGAAAAACAGAGACATGACAAGCTCGTGGATAGAAGGACTTAATGTTACCAAGGCAACAATTCTTCCCAAATTATATTACAAATTTAATTCAATCTCAGAATCCATGAAGGTATTTAATTAATATTAGTAAATTAATTAAAAATTTAAGTAGAGAAATGGAAGATCTAGGATATCACACAACTGAAGAAGAAACAAATGTCAAACACGACAACATGTTACTTCTAGGCTAAATTTGGAACTACTGTAAGTAAGACAGCATAGATTAGATAGAAACAAACAAACAAAAGCAAAAGACACATTGATAAGCCGAATAGCAACAAAGGACAAAAGTAAAGCCACACGAATCTCTGACAAAAGAGTAAACACGAACAAATGAAGCAAATCTGGGGATATTTAAATGAAAATATCCTGCATGTAGATAAATTTATACCTTTTACAAATATTAAGTTAAAATGCATCATGGACATAATTGTAAAATGAAAATACGTAGAAGCTAGCAAAAGAGGAAAAAATCTAGTGCACACACATACATACAAAATCATGATCAAGGAAACAAACAGTTGAAAAAGCTTAAAAGCTGAATTTTCTCCTTCCTTGTGGGTTGTTTTACGTTTTTGCTTTCTTTTCCCGTAGAAGTTTTAATTTTAATTGTATTCAGCTTTTAAGTTGAGGGGGAATGGGGATAAGAGGATTTGGAGGGAGGAGAGTATTTTCGGTCAGTAGTTTTGTAAATATAACACTTATGTATGAAATTCTCAAGAAAAGAGTATTTTTAAAATAAATAGCTTCTTTTCTATTGAGCAACAGAAAGGTAGTAGATCAGGATAGAACAGGAGCTGGAGAGGAATTGATAGGAGTAGATAGAGAGGATACTGTAATCAAGATATAGTGTACAAGAAAAAGAATCTATTTTCAATAAAAGGGGAAAATATGTACATAATAAATAACTCATGATTGTTCAGTACATGTAATGAACTGGAAGAAGGCTATAAATAGATATAAACTAATTAGATGTATGACTCTATTCTTTAATGACATTACAATTTAGTAGTAAAAATTTTATTTTCTAAGTGAAAAAGTAAGGTGATTAAATAAATGTAAGAAAATCATTGTGTTAGCAATTCTACATTCTTAAATTACTTTAAACTTGGAAATCTTATGGAGCCATTAAGAAAGGGTAAGTCCCCTCCAGAAAAGATTCATGGATCTTTGAGGAAGAGGCGGTGGAAAGATTGCAAGAGTCAGAGTTGGTGGATCTTTACCAGGAGGGTGTCTGCTGGACACAACAGGTTAGTTACTCATTGGAACTCACTAGGATTGTGACACCACGCATACAGCGTGCATAGGCTCAAATCATTCAAGTCTGTGAAAGGTGTGTGGATGGCAGGCAAAAAAATCTCACCCCAGTCAAGGAACTATTAATATCTGATAGCTACTGAGAGAGATGGATATTTCAAGTGGTGTGACCCATGGTAGGTCAGCCACACTGTGGAGTGGGCTCTATTTTTAAGATATTTGGGCAACACACACACACACACACACACACACACACACACACACGCACTGAGGAGAAAGATGAGGAGGGAAAAGAGAGTAGGGTAGGAGGTTGAATACAAAAGACAAGGTGGTCGACAGGTGAGGAGGGCGCAACGTGGGAATTATAATAAAATATTTCGTATGAAATTATCAAATAATAAAAATATTTTTCCTACTTTAAAAGAAAACTTAGACGAGATCGGACACGTTCAGGGTGGTATGGCTGTAGACATATCATTATGTAGATTATTGTAGCTAGGGAGTCTAATTTCAGTGACACTGAGATGGGCTTGAATTTCAATGATAGACATACGTTGATGCTGGCCTCCTCACTTCGACACACAAAAATTCCTAAGCAGTTCCCTTTAATCACAGTGTTTTGACATTCTTTTCCACGTAAACATTTGCTTGGATGTTCAAGACAGCAATGGTATGTTAAAATCTGTGAGGTATGTAATTAAGATTCATACTGGATTCACGTTTTTTTTAAAAAAAAAAAACAACAACAGTTTATACCTTAATTTTTGAAGGGCACAGTCCTCAGAATCACAAAAGACAACAGTGTGTGGGTTGCCCTTGAGTTCACCAGTCAGCCATATGTGCTTATGGGGAATACACAAGGAGGCTGATTAATGTAGGGAATGAAGTATAAGAACACTGTGAGATCTCAAGATTAGTTTTTCCAGCTGGGCTCCTCCTACTCAAGGGCCAAATCAATATTTCATTCAGTGAAAACTTCCTGGTGCATACTCTGCCACTTAACAAGCTCCATTAATCACTAGCCAATGAAACAAATTCTCAAAGGAGATTTCAAATGTTGCCTGTGGATTATGTTTTAAGAGAGATTTTTTTTTGCAGTGCATCAGTGTTTGCATGTTATCACTGGCTTGACATGAAAGTAAGAAACCAATTGGGAAAATCTATAAGTAATCCCTTTGTTGGTACCTTGGGGTTATGTAAAGTTCACCGAAACGAACTGTATCATAGTTGCCTGAGTCCTTTCATTAAGAAATCCATAGTTTATAGACTTCTTCATTTTAAACCCTCTAGATAAATGGATCTCTTCTTGTAGATAATGAAATATATAGTACAACAATTGATCTAACTGAAATTTGACAGGCTCAGTTTGCAAGTAAGGAACAGGCCAGTTAAGTTTTACTGCATCAGTCCAATTTCAGGAGGAAATAACTGAAACAGTAAGTTACATGATTAAAGGGGCTCATAAGGAGTTGACGGGAAAATGTTTCCTCTGTCAAAACAAAATTTAAGTTAATATAATAACTTGACTTTTCATCACTTGCTTGTATCACAATCATACTTTTAAATTTGCATGAATTCAACTATATGAGAAAACGGTTTAGGTAAATGATATTTTAGAACTATTTTTATAACATGCAAAGATAACATGCTATTCAAGAAGCTTTAATTTTTTTTAGGAAAAGTGGTATCGTATTTGGTCTCATGAAATGATAAGCAGGCTACTCGTGGATTAAAAACTACTTCCTTACCTCCAATTAATTTCCTGAAGTACTGGGTTTCCGGTGAGACAAAGCTCTCGGAGAGAGTGGCATGAGTTGAACCAACACATGATACTTGAAAGATCTAAAAAAAGAAAGAAAGAATGAAAACTAGCAAAGTAGCATAAATAATTTGTACATAAACTATCACAAATGAATCACCAATCTTCCAGTTAAAAATTAGGTGATATTTTAATTTTTTCCCATTGAATACCCCAAGCTTTCAGATCAAAGTGGGTACTGAGTGGAACATAGACTAGTATAAAATTAGGTTTTCTACCATTTAGCAACTATGTGAACTTGAACAACTCATTTCTACAATTCAGTTTTAGACTGTCTCGATGTGTGAGGACTAAATGAGGTAATGGATTTGATGTTCTACTAAGAAAAAAATATGAAGCCAAATATAACATAATACAATGCATACTAAAGCTAAATACATCAACAAACACAATAACATAGACCTGTACATTTAATACTAAATCTCATACGTAAATCTATGCTACTCTGCAGAGCAATGTGCACATTCACTATGTTCCCTTTTAAAAGGGCCCTGCCCACCTCCCATTCCTATCTCTGTTTTTCTCTTTTTCTCTCTCCCTCTCCCCCCACATGCTTCTCTTTCCTCTTTTCCCTGCTCCTGTCCCTGGAGGCCAGTCTCCCCCCTTCCCCTTTTGTAGGAGAAACTGCAGCTTGGGTAGGCTAGCATGCTGGATGCTCTCTGAAGCTAGAACTCAGACTCCCGCTAAGCTGCATATCACACACACACACACACACACACACACACACACACACACACACACACACAAAGTGAATATGTAGGAGAATCTTTGGCCAGCTTACCCAAGCGGCAGTCGCCCTGCCTCCGGTGCCCAGGCTAGCCCACATGAGCATGTGCATGCACAATAGGCACTTCCTCCCTGAGCCAAGGCCAGAGACTGCTGATAGAGAGACACCTGACCAGAGACCAATGAGGAAAGGACAATGCAGCAGAGCCAGCCGCCTGATCCAATGGGACCCTGGGAGGGGTTTTAAAAGCAGGCCTAACTTCCTTAATAAATGAGTCTGTAGCATGCTCTGTTACTCACTGACTCCCAATGCCTGAGTCCTTGGTGTTTCACCTTCTCACCCCTCCCCCAAGGGGTATCCGAGTGGGGTAACCCAGAACACCCTTTCTTTTTACAATACTTTTCCCTTAAAAAAAAACCCTGCTGCTTTAACTTTGTTGCATGATGTCTTTCTCTTTCGAGTAGCTTTTTAAAATTACAACACTGACTACACATGTATGCTGTGTGCACACACACAGACACAACATCTGTATTATTTTAAATCTGGATCTGATAGTAAGGAAAGATACTATGCCCTTTGTGGTTGTTCTATGATCTCAATAATTTTATGTCTAGGAGAACATTATTGTTCACCTAAAATGACAGTGGCATACAAAGATTCTGTTTTGCTGAATTAAAGTGGAAACTGCTAGAAATGAGGCTAGACCATGTGGGGTAAAGGACTGAGAAGAAGTGCATGAATGTTGGAGATCTCTTCTGAGAATTTATCACATGTCCTTGGCAAAGTGTTGATTCTTATGCAGGCTGAAAACTCAAAACGGCCCAGGTTTCCATCATTAGGAGAAAGGTCTAATAAACCTGATGCTAGAACTTGTGCAACCATTTATTAGAATTTCAGACCCAACATCATGAGACATGGCCGATCACCTCAGAGATCCAACTAAAGTCCAGGAGAATATATATGGTTTTTATAACTTGTGGTGGAAAATTAAGATTGTGGCTGCCACTTGGAGGGGGTTGACTGGAGAGTAATTGGGAAAAACATTTTATGGGCTTTGTTCAATTCATAATGCCTTAACAGCATTCTAATGGCTGAATGGCCAGTAGTAAAAAAGCTATCAGTAATCTTTTTACTCATCTTCATATATGCATATGCATATGTATTCAGAACAACTCTTCACTATAGTTGAGACAGAAATTAAAAGCCTATTATTTAAAATAAATAGAGTTCCACACTTACCAGAAAGACAATTATTGCTGACATCTAGTTTTTCCAAAGACACAAAATGAAACAGTGGTACAATTGTTGCTAAACTGAAAACAAAATATAAAAATTATTGAAAAAATTAACAACCTTATTCTTGTTATATTGTTTCAAGTACAACTCATTTACCTAATGCAATCATATAATTATAAGACATTATATACAATTATCTATAATTGAACAGTACAATTAAAACATTGAGTAACAGTATTTATTTAAAAAGCAATAAGTCTAAGAATGCAAGTAATCCTATTATGGAAAATTGATATTCATTTTTAAAGAGAATTTACCATGGAACATTACAACAATGGGAGATTTTGATTCACTTAAAAAAGAAATTACCATGGAATTGCTAATTTCAGTCACAAATACCATGAGCTTTGATGCATATTTGCTATTCAGTTTAAAATGGGTAGCTATCTGGGTATTATTTTGTTTTATATATTTTAAACACATGACCTAAATCTGTAAGGTACAAACTTTTCTGAGGCATTACTATGATTTTTAAAATGTTTTTAATGTAACTATAATGACAGCATCCCTGCCCCATTTCGTTATTCCAAGGCCCTCCCTGCTACACTAGTTTAAACTTCTCCGATGTCCCTGCCATGCTGACAGCATATTTTTATTTATTATTGGTTTACAAACACACACACACACACACACACACACACACACACACACACACACAGAGCCAGGGGTGTGTATGTATGCATGTGTGTGTGTGTGTGTGTGTGTGTGTGTGTGTAAATCACAACTGGTCACAGTGCAGAGGCAAATAAATCATGAGGAGCCCAGCTCCAAATGATAGATCTGTATCACCTTTAGCAAATCTGCAGCTCAGGGAAAATCCTAAATAGGGTTCAGAATGACTGTAAGAGCCATAATTGGCCATGAAACACTTTCTCCTACTGATAGTCACAAAACAAGACAGGAACAAGAATATCAATGGGCATTACAACATGGAAGGGGTAATTTTCAGGGTTCCACTCCTAGACAAAAGTCTAGAGACAACTAATGACTTCTGGGAGGAGAATTAGCCTCCCCCAGGGCTTAGCCCCTTTATTCATTCATTGAGGGTCAGCCTTGATACCACATACTACACACAAACAACATAAACAAACTCAGCAGGCTGTGTGTGTGTGTGTGTTAGCGTGTGTGCATACACATACAAATAGTTTTAGAAATCACTTTTAATAGAATAACTGATTAGACTCATTGTTTTAATGAAAAATGTTTTAGATTAGAGTGAGCTACTATCAATATAAATACCCAATGTGGTATTGTGCTTCATTCAGAATTGGAAATATGCTTAACATATAAACAATAAGTCCAAGAGGAAAGTTTGCTAGACATGAAGTATTTAAAATAAATATTTTCAAAAATTTTGTATGGTATATTATAATAGTGAAATTGTTGATACTTAAAGTCTCTTTTATTCATTTTTCATATTATATTGGTAATTAAGAACTCACTTTCAAGCAAGAAATATAAATGACATTTAACATGTAATATATATATATATATCATTTCAAGTAAAAATTGTGAAAGGCCATTCATACAACAAGGGCATCTTGTTCCACTATGTTCATAGTAGCATTATTTGTAATAGCCAGAACTTGGAAGCAACCTAGATGCCCCTCAACTGAAGAGTGGATAGAGAAAATGTGGTACATTTACACAATGGAGAAATATTCAGCAGAAAAAAAAAACAATGGAATACTGAAATTTGCAGGCAAATGGATGACACTAGAAGAAACCATCCTGAGTGAGGTAACCCAGTCACAAAAAGAGAAACATGATATGTACTCTCTCATTTATGGATCTTAGACATAGATCTGGGGAGCGCCAGCCTACAATCCCACAGCCAGGGAGTCTGCGGAACAGAATCTTCATCCAATGGCTGATGGAAGCAGAGGCTAAACACTGAACTGAATTCAAGGAACCCAGTGACAGGGAGGACTGATGAGCAGAGGGGTTAAGACTGAGCTGGTTTAACTCCCAGAACCAGCTGACCTGAACAAGGGATAGCTCTTGAATCCCAGCATTGGACTGATCAAGACCCCCTAAATGTGGGTGTCAATAAGGAGGCCTAGGCAATCTGTGGGGCCTTGGGTAGTAGATCAGTATTTATCCCTGGCATGCAAATGGACTTTTGGTGCACATCCCACAATGAGAGATGCACTCTCACCCTGGACTCTTGGGTGAGGGTCTAGGCCCTGCCTTGGATGAAATGACAGACTATGGAGATCCCCCACGGTGGACCTCACCCTCCTTGGGGAAAGGAGGGTGTATTGGGGGGGTTGGTGGGAGGGCATGGGATGTGGGAAGGGAATGGGAGAGGGAATGGGGATTGACATGTGAAACAACCTTGTCTCTAATTTAAATTAAAATAATATAATATATAGTAAAAATAATAAGTAGTCAAGTCAAGAAACAAAAATTTGGTTTCTGCACGTAAAAGTTAAACAATACAATTTACTATCTTAGTAGAATAAATGAAATAAAAGAGTATTTAAACAGGAAAAAAAGTTGTGAAAGGCTAATTAATGCTATCTTGATTGACACTTCTAATAAAGACAAGTTAATATTTTCTCACATAATAATGCACTAACATAGTTTTTGGCAAATTAAAATCACCCCAGTTTACCTGAATCTTTAAGTAATACAAAAAGTAACTTTCATAAACTCATGATTTTGAAACCAGTAAATGTAGTTAGTTCTCTGTATCAATACTGGTTTTTTGAAATTGTCCATTACAGCATTCAGCTAAAGAAGAGTTTAGTCAAAACAGCAGCAGTAATCTGGTGAAGATGGGAGAGTCTGTTGATAGCCAGGGATCTCTCAAAAAGTTGGACAAGTTCTCTGCCAATGAGCCTCACCTCTCCCAGCTTCTTTAAATTTGAATATATACTGAGCATCATCAGAGCCTGGGAGCAACATCAGAAGTAGGTTCACACTTCAGGCCCTGAGCAACATTTCAGTGAGGTCAGAGTTGCAGTCCCCAAGCACCTGTGAGAGGCCTAAATCCCACCTCAAAAGTAGAGTCAGAGGAAGACCCTAGCTTCAGGCCTGGAGTAGCTTTAAGGGAGCCACAAGCATCAGACCAGGCAGCAGCATCAGAGGAGCATTCACCCTCCTCTACTTGAGCCTGAAGGAGCAGTAAATGGAGCCACAGCCCCCAACTATACCAATTGGAGAAAGAGAGAACCCCTGAAGCACAAGCTCCAACTATACTGATTAGAGGAAGAGATGCTTAGACAACTAGGTAAGAGCATATAAAGAACAATAAGGTACCACTAGAAACTAGTGGTGCTACAACAGCAAGACCTGAATATCCCAAGACAGATGAAGTAGAAGAAAAAAAACTAAAAAATAACTTTATGAGGATGAATGAGGCCCTTAAAGAGGAAATGAAAAATTCTCAAAGAAATGGAGGAAAAGACAAACAAAAAATTGGAACATATAAGCAAAGCCCTTAAAGAAAACCTAGAAAAAGCAATCAAACAAGTGAAGGAAATGATTCAAGATATGAAATCTGAAATAGAGGCAATAAAGAAAACACAAACCAGGGAATTCTCAAAATGGAAAATTTGGGTAAAACATCAGGAATCACAAATGCAAGCATAAACAACAGAATACAAGAGATGGAAGAGAGAATTTCAGGCATTGAAGATAATTTGGAGGAAATAGATTCATTGGTCAAAGAAAAATTTAAATCCACCAAATCCTTAACACAAAAATGCAGGAAATCTGGGACACCATGAAAATAGTAGGAATAGAAGGAGAAGTCCAACTCAAAGGCATAGAAAATATATTCAACAGTATCATAGAAGAAAACTTCCCCAACCTAAAGAAGGAAATGTCTATGAAAAATACAAGAGGCTTACAGAATACCAAATAGACTGGACCAAAAAAAAAAACCGTCCCCTTGCCACATAAAAATCAAAACAATAAACATACAGAATAAAGAAATAATATTAAGAGCTGCAAAGGAGGAAGAAAGGTCAGGTAACATACAAAGGCAGACCTATAAGAATTATACCTGACTTCACAATGGAAACAATGAAAACCAGTAGGTCCTTGTCAGATGTTATAAATACACTAAGGAACATGGATGCCAGCCTAGACTGCTTTACCCAGCAAAGCTTTCGAAAACTGTAGACGGATAAAACAAGATATTCCATGATAAAACCAAATTTAAACAATACCTATCCACAAACCTAGCCCTACAGAAAGTACTACAAGGATAATGACAACCCAAGGAAATTACCTATATAAAAAGGAACACAGAAAATAAGTGAGCTTAGAGCACCAAATTGCAAAGAAGGAAATTGAAAACACAATGCCATCACCAACGATAAAAATGAAAATAACAGCAACTAGCAATCACTAGTCATCAATATCCACTAATATAAATGGTCTCAATTCACATATAAAAAAACACACCATAACAGACTGGATACGAAAACAGAATCTATCCTTCTGTTGCACACAAGAAACACATCTCAACTTCACAGACAAAAATTACCTCAGAATAAAGGTCTGAGAAACAAGCTGTTGTAGCTATCCTAATATCTAACAAAATACACCTCAAACTAAAATCAATTGAAAAATAAAGAAGGGCATTTCATATTCATCACAGGAAAAATCCATCATGAGGAAATCCCAATTATGAACATCAATGCCCCAAACAGAATGGTTCCTACATTTGTAAAAGAAATATTACTAAAGCTTAAATTACAAATTAAGTCCCACATACTAACACTGGGAGACTTTAACACCTCATTCTCACCAATGGGCTCATCTGTCAGACAAAAGTTTAACAAAGAAATTAGGGAACTAACACATTATGACTCAAATGGACTTCACAGACATCTATCTATAAAACATTCCACCCAAACACAAAAGAATATACTGTCTTTTCAGCACATCATGGAACCTTCTCAAAAATAGACCACAAACTCCATAGCAAAGCAAACATCAACAAATACAAAAAAATGGAATAAACTACTATATTTTTTCAGACCACCACAGCTTAAAGATAGAA